TCTTTGCCTCATAGCTGCTACTAGATATCTCATGAAACTAGTATTCAGCATATGAATCTACATCCTGTGGGCTTTTATTTAGTCCCTTGATTGACAAGAACTCTCCCTTAAACAGGAGATTATATGGAAGTTCTCTCTGGTTTGCTTCCCTGTTGCATGATAATAATAAATCTTTAATAGGAGGGGTGAAAATCCTGTGACCTGTCTTCCTGCTCACTCGGATTTAATGTGCATAGTAGGAGGAAGTCAGGCTCTTGAGAAGATCTCAGCTGTAGAAATAGCTTTACTCTGAATCCTAAGCAGACTTAGGCAGGGACAGTTGCCTTAGGAAAGATTGTGCTTGCTATAGTCTTGCTCAAAGAAATAACTCTTAGTAAAAGAAGCACCTTGAGGATATTTTATCTTTGCTATCATGAATAATGTCAGATGTCAAAACAGCAACTTTTTTCATCTGATTTTACAGAAAGAACTCATTTCTATGTGTTTTCCCAATTAAAATCATTGGGTTTATACTTTTTGGGGGGACTTTGAGATGAACATTACCCTAAATGTTAAAACAACTTTAAAAGACCTTCAGTTTAGTATTAGTTCTATACAGCTATCTCCATCTTTTAGAGTATTACTGTTCTGCATGGTCTATCTAACCAAAGAATAAGATTTTCCATGCTCTTTGATCTTTTAAAAATATACTAAAATCTGAAATCAAGTGCTTTTCCTGAGTCTTAACTTTGCTGGCAACAATGAGCTGAATAATGTACTAACATGCAGAGTCCCCCTAATAACAATAACAAAAAAAAAGAAATTACAACTTTTCAGAATCAGACCAGCTATGTCTATTAAATGCTCTGAAGTCTGATGTGGATAAAAGAGGGGGAACCAACAATCAAGAAAGGAAAAATAAAAGAAGAATAAATGGAAAAAAAGAATTCCAGCTAAAACAACTCAATTTTATTAAAAAGCTATATGAAGTGTCAAATGTCATGCTAGGAGAAAAGCATAATCTCTATCTAAAGTTACTCAGAAGGTAGAGTTAAAATATTTTGATCATAACCACAGTACAGAGCTCATTGCATACTTGCCAATAATGCAAAAATAATGCTACCAAAAAATCATTTATTTCATTTGCATTAACCATCTAGGTTAGAGAGATTTTGCCTAGGTAATACTAGGGACGATTAAGTCTGTTTAACACAGAGACAGATGCCAGATGTAAGCATGTAACAGTTACAGAGGAAGCATATGCATAGTATCAGCTCTACAAATACTCAGGCTCCCTAGGCACTCAACAGTTTTGAAGCTAAGGGAGGGAATGTTTTTATGTTATAACATTTTCCCTTGGTGGTAGCAAATTAGCTGCCTTGTATCCATCTTCAACTGGAACTGCAGAGAGTCACTTGAGAGCTTATAAATAAGTTTAGAGCTCTGCTAGACTGTTTCTTAGATACCTGAGATGCAGTACTGAGATGAGATACTGCGCCTGTGCACAGGCACCTGTGTAACAGGTGGACACAAAACAAAAAAAAAGTTTATTTTTTTTCCCGTAAGACAATTTTTGCTTGCCTTATTTCCTTATATAATATAATTCCTTTTATAATATAATTCCTAATATAATTCAAGGTCAGACTGAACCCTGCTTTTAGATAGGGTGCTTTATTTTTGTCTCTTTAGGAATTAAAGCCATTGTTTTTCTTAAAGAAAAACAAAGCAAAGCTACATTTTTATTTGGAAACCCAGAGGCTCTTTTTGAAGAACCATGCAGTAGATATTGGGGCTCAAATTTCTCTGCTTTCCATTATCTGTGATACTCAGAATTCAAGCCAATAATAACTGTACAGGTTTCTTACCATTTTGTATCCAACAGAACAAAAAGCCTGGGAGGAGGGTGACACATTAAAATCAAGTCATGGCGGAAAGCATACATGGAACTCTAAATCAAGTAAATATTATAGTGATAAATTCCAGTAAATGAAAAGGTTGTTTTAAATACCCTGAGAAAGCTAATAACGATGCATATCTAGAATAGGTTTCACTGCATTTTATAGCAGGTCTTCACCATTTCTAGCGGTGTAGTATTTTCATCACCTCTACAGATTTAAGATTTTCTTAAAGAATGTCAATAGATTGATACTGACTGACATATTCTGAATCCTTCAGCAGCTTTAAAGGAAGCATCTGCATCTCTTACTTGTTTTACCTAAACAGTGTTTAACTTATCTAATGCCTCAATGCTGATTTCCTCTGGAGGGTGTTCAGATAAATAAGATGAGGGCACAGCTAACAGAAATTACCCTGACTGCCTCTTACTTGGTGCTGTTGGTAATTAGCCTTTAAGTCTATCTCCAAGACAAAAATACACTTTTTATAAGAACATGGCTCAGATTGGTGGTTGCTACACACCAGAAAAATAGCTTCTTAACAGTTAGCAGGCTTAAAAAGCGAAGATATTAGTGAAAACAAAGAACACATAATGACGACATCTTTGGAAATTGATAATTTTTCTTAAAGATATCTTTTGTCACATCAAAGTACTCTGACATCCATTCAAAAGTTGACGCTATAACAAATGAAAAGATGACAAGTAAAAGAGGGAGTCTCAGCTGAGCAGCTCAACTGCTGCACATAAATGTAACTAGCAGGAAAGATTGTTCTGTATTAGGGTTGTTAATATCTATAATCTCCTCAATCCTTGAAACATAAGAAAGTGATCTGGAACTTATAGTTCTTAATGAAGGATCTAAGGAAAGGAAGATATGAATATTCTGAAGACGTTTTCAGTAAGTGTCTTTCAAAAATTAGTTTACTGTTCATGGAGAATCTGAAAATATGGTGTTGAATCTGTTTACATGTATAATTCCCTTTGCCTAACTAGTTGTTTTTAGAAAGTCAGATTTGAAAAACGTGTCCTTAATTAGCCTTTCTGATTGATCTAATTGGAGCACTATCCAGGTAGAAATTTAAGTAGTATAGCATTATCAAATTCAAATTGCTAAGCGAATGGGGGTTCTTCATAAATTGGCATAAAGGTAATCCCATTCTGCAAATCTCTTTCAAAGGTGGCAATAAAACACAACACCAGCAATCTGTTAAACAATAGTCCAGGGGACCATCTAATCATACAATAATTAATATATTACTTAGATTCTAGATTAAACTCTTAAATCATTTATTTTTTTCTAAGAATATTTTTCTGCATCCATATGTCCAAGTGAGAGTTCCTTGAGATGTCTGAGCAACTTCAGGGATTTTCTGAGAGCAGCATCATGAAAAGTGTTCTTCTCTCTGTTCTGTCAGATACATTGTACCTCTCATGAAGTCTAAAGTATATGACCTACTGATGACATCAACCTTTTGAAGCAGAGGATGATACCCAGTAGGCTTTTCCATCTCTTTGTATAAAACAGACCTGGTGTCATTATGGTTGTCAAAGGATATTTTGAATGTAAATCCAGGCATACTAAGAGGAAAGTGGAGGAAAAGACTGTCTTTTACCAAAGTGACAAGATTTTGAATGGTTCAATATCTATATAGCCTTTGTAATTATTTTTATGAGACTTTGCAAAGGAAAACAGATAGCATTTGAAAAGCTTTACTGCATTGATTCTGCTTTAGTCAAAATCAGGCTCCTACACAGAAACCGACAGATTCTGTCCACTCAACAGAGCCCACCTATAGTCAGAATGTAAACACAACCATCAAAAGGACATAGAAATAGATTTCTTCAGACGCTTGCCATGTCTCTCTCCTCAGTGGCACCCTCCTCAGTCAATGACTATAAAAAAGTTGTCATATCCAAATTTGAGGTAGGCTTACAAAGCAAAAAGCTTAGTGCCTTCTAATTAAAGATTTGTATACTGAGATAATTGGCAACCAGTGAGGAAGGTTCAGTGGTGTAATATATAGATAATCATTGGTGGCTTGATGGTGCGACAGATGGGGATAGCTTCTTTAAATTATGGAACTTTTATATTGGTATTTTCAGGAAATGTCAATAGTGTGATTATATTTTCATTAATGTTGTCTTTCCTTCCCATTCATTGCTTTTGTTTGTCATAATCACTTGTTAACTTTTGTCTCTAACTATACAATCTGTTAATATTTGTATAGGATGCCTCACAGTGGTCCTGGTTAATGACTATATTCCTAAACATTGACGCAGTAAAATATGTAGCATTTACTAAATATTGCAAATTAGATATGGAAATTATTGATACTCTAATTATGAGTAACTCACAATAAAGTTATAAAAAAAATGTGAATATCATGCAAATTATGCAAATGGTTACACAAATTTGGTTAGATTTCAGATTTAAGAGTCATTGCATTTTTAGATTCTAGTGCTGAAACAATCCCATTGAAAAATCTGTGACACTGCCTTGATCAAGAGTATGAAAATGTGTTATACTAAAAATGTATAAAACCTTTTCTCATCTGTTAATTACTGCAGTTTTGTTTTCTTTGATTCTCAGGAAAAAGCTTTGGGGATCTACAACAAAGATTTACAGTTTAAAACTATGATTTTGTCATATTACTGAAGTTTCCCTCTAGCTTCTCAGCTAAGGACAGGGCTGGCACAGCTAGCCTTTGTGTATTTGCTCACTGCAGCCCTAGGCCAGAAAGAGTTTTTTATGGTGGAATGGGGAAGAGACGAAAATATCTTTTCATGATGTCAAATGGTCTTTTCACAGCAAATTAGAGTCAGGACCAGTCAACTTATAGGCAAACATTGGAGACCAACTTGTGGGTGTCCATTCTCCTCTTTCTCATCTGATAGGAGTAAATGAGGCATCCTTTTTACTGATCAGATATTTCCAGTTCACTGCCAACTATAAACTTAAGTGTTTGTACCTTTGAGAAGCACAGTGAGAAATTTCAAGGGCTGTGAGCTGTGTCTGGGCCACAGATGAAAGCTGTTTTTCTGCTGTGGAAGTTTCGTCATTGTTGTGAATTTTGGAAGCAGAGCCTATCCATGTCTGTGACTCACAGGTTTGATTTGCCTCTAGAACAGCAAGGCAGAGGCCAAAGACCCATTGTTGGGATCTGTGGACCAGCCCGCTGTGAGGATGGAAAATTTTCAGGTAACACATCTTTCTCTTACATTGTCTTTAAATAAAAATACATGATTGCCGTTGAATTATAAATGTGAAATTAAAGCATACTTCTGTAAGAACTATATTAAATATTCTATGTGCTCCATGTAATCCTGAAATATTCCTCCAATATTTGTCATTTTGGACAAATGAGAACAAGAATTAAATCCATAGACCATCATATTTTTATGGCTTTTGAAGTGTTTTATGCCATGTCAATATAAAAAATATATTGCCTTTATCCTGCATTCAGAAAGCAAGCAACCAAAACCAAGCAAACAAAGCCCCAACAACCAAAACCAGGGAAACTGAGTAAGGATTATAGAACTCAGAAACTTGTATTTATATTATTAGAAGAGACCATGAGATCCAAGAGGTTTAAAAATATGGCAGTCCACTCTTTTTTTACTGCCAGTCATTTCACTAACCTGAGCTACATAATTGCATTGCCTGACTGAAAGAAACCTTTAAACAGACAAGCCAATATAAATACTCAGATTGGAGACAATTCTGTTTAATAACAGCAAGAATATGTATAGAACTATTTGTTTACCTCTACTCATTTCTGTCAAAATCAATTGTAATTAAACAGAAATCCAATCACAGAAGCAGTACTTTAGCTGATTCTTCTCAATAGAAGTGTCATATAGACCCAGTGTTAGGGACATGTCAAAGTACCCATTATTTTTCTCCTGTAATAAATATCTCCTTATAGTAAATTCAGGTCTTTAGTAAAGACAATTGCCCATTTCAAATTTAAAAAAACAAACAAACAAAAAAAAGTAAGCCATCATTTCATATAAATTCTGGGAGGTTTTCTGGTCATATTTCAGGAATTACTGAAGTTCTGAAAAGCAGAGTTAATTGCATTTTCTGTTAGATATTATTTGGCATTTATTGTCCATCTGCTTACAGATATGTACCAAAGATACAGATCTTTCATATCTATTCAAGGTAATAAAAATATAAAATATAATATTATTGGTCTAAAGCAAGTACTGGTTGTCCTTATTTATTTTTTGTCATAGAATGATTTGGGTCACATGGGACCTTAAAGATCATCTAGTTCCATCCTCTCTGCTGTGGACAAGGACACCTTCCACTAGACTAGATTGTTCAAATCCCCATCTGACCTGGTCTTGAACACTTCCAGGGATGGGGCATCCACAACTTCTCTGGGCAGCTTGTTCCAGTGCCTCACCACCCTTACAGTCAAGAATACTGTGTTGGTTAGACTAGAGAAATAAAAGCTACAGAGAATTTTTCACCTTGTTTCAGTACAGAATGAATTCTAAATGGAAATATTTTCAGTAGTGAACACAAATTCTCAACATCAGGGGTGAAAGGAATTTATCTCTTAGACAAGTCAGTGTGAACTCTATGCATACATTCATAGGCAGATCCTTTTCCTTGTAATGTGAAACAAGGGTCATCAAAGATGTGCATTACTATTAACTCTGTAATGCACTGAAGAATAGAGTGTGAAACAACATGCCTTCAAAAAAAAAGGCAGCATACATTTTGAAATGGCTCCTGCGGTGGGTTTTTATTTGGACTTTTTAGTTAATAGTTGTTCCAGTCAACTGAGTCAGCCAACAAACCATCCCTGACAATTAATGTTTATTTTTTAGCTTCCATATTTATAGAAAGAAAGAAAAAAAATCAGAAAAAGGTGTTTATGCAATGGTAAAAGCTAGATGTCACCTGTTGAAAGAACAAAAAGGAGTAAGTAAGATATCTGAAAGACAAGCTTTCCCAGCACAATAAAAAATAACAAAAGTTACTGACATTTTTAAATAGTCAGTGTTATTCACGTAGTTATCTAGCCATATTCTTATTTAACCTTTACCAATGAACATATGGTAATAAAAAGCTACATTTTGTGAGTGAAACATTTAGAAAAGAATGGACTTGAATGACCATCTACCTGACCAGATCTTACAAATGGTAATGTTCCTAACTCTGTCTTGTTTAACTTCAAATACAATTTGATAAAATAATTTACAGGTTTTGTGAGTAATATGATGGTATAGGACTAGGTGTAGATCTAGGTCTACATCTAGGTATATATACAGACTTGTGTATAAGGGAAATCAGATTTTAAATATAGATAGATACATTTATTTACATAAATATATATAAAAATATATACTTATATGTGCATATACATATATTTATATGTATATACATGATTTTCCATATAAAAAAGTCTGGACATTTACTATTAAGCTATATGGAGTACTTTGATACAGAGTATAGTGTTCTTCATCTTATAAGCATAAGACATTAAATATTTCTTGAAAATGTTTGCATGGTGATGTTTACTTTTCATTTGTTTTTCTGCTTTGTGCGTATGTGTAATTTAAATAATTGGGGTCCGGTTGAATTAGAGCAAATATTTTGTTTATTGACTTGATTTGGCCACACTGAGTCACTGTTTAAAAAAATAATAATTCTTGAGTTTCTTCTCTGTTATCATTATGTAAATTTCATAAAATTAATGAATCAAAATAAGATATCTCCATTTTAGTCATTGAAAGGAACCGGCTATCTAAAGTATTAATCAATGAATTTTATAGGGCAAATGAAATCAGTAACCATAATTAATTCTGTTCACAATATTTATAAGGAAACCATAGGAAATTATAGATATCACACTAAAAGTATCTATTTCTTTTAGCTTGCTATGGAAGGCAGATGTTAAATATATCTCCTATAGAATAAAATATGTAAGATATGTTTTATCTTGCACCAAAAATACATATCTTGCATTGCATTTTGTATGTTGCTAATATAACTTTCATCCTATACCATCTCTAAATTTCTATCCAGAATACATTTCCCATCTAAGCGACTGTTGTTTACAGATAGCTTGTTTCCTTTTCTTTCTGTGGCTGATAATTTAGCAATTCTATTTTAGTGGATGCTCTCCCCTAAGTGCATAAAGCACTTCTGACTGTTTACCCTTAAAACTCTAGAGAGTTAGGAAAACCTCTAGACTGCTTCTGTTTATTGTACACACATGCACTGTTAAGGGTTTATTTTCAACAGGAGAGAGACAAGTACAGAGATAAAGACCAATGACACATATCACTCTACCGGCACATCCTGCTGTACAGCACAGCATATGACCTATTTTACATATATATATTTATATATTTACCTTTAAATTGATTCTGTTTTCTCATATGCACTAATTTGGCCCTTGGTGGTGATAGTTTTTGTGTTGTAGTTTCTGCTACTCGTAAAAAAGTCCCTGTTTGATTTTCTTTACTGTCTGCTAGCTGTAGCAGTCAAAATTACAGGCTAATGGTTAGACAAGCAACTTATAATGTATGATAATCAATACTCAAAATCCATTTCCTATGATGTGACATAAAAGCATGAAGTGAAAAGACACAGATTTTCAGGACTAGAGCTCCAATGCTCATGCAATGCAGGTGGTTTTCAATTCAAGGTCATTCAGTATTTCTTTTTTCTTCTTTTTTGGCTTCATATTTAATTCAGTCACTTCTATGATGCCCAGGGAGCAGAAATGGAAAGTTAGTCGATACTGTGAGTAGAAATGCAAGTATAAAAACTGCTTTAACAAATGCAGGAAATGAGAAGAGGAAAGAAGATATGGCATGCAATATATATATATATAACATATATATGCTACATGATATACATCTCTTTTACTTAGAGATAGCCAGCAAACTTTGCATTTTTGTTGGCAGTAATGAATAATGTAATCACTGGGTAAGGCTTCTCCTCATACCAGTGTATGTATATGTGGAAGAGCTAAAAATATAAATCTTCAAACATAACTTGATTGCAACAAATTAACCTAATGAGTCTTGAAAATCTCAAAGCATAGTTTTTGGCACAGTACTGAATACCTAGTATAATAAACTTATTTCCAGTGACTGAGAACTTTTCTGATCTTTACCTTGTATCTGAAGTTTGCTCATTTCATTCTCAGTTTAGGGAAAAAATTTTAATTTTTTTGAAGAAATACAGTTCAGTTGAGTTTTAGAAAAAAGTCATTTTCCAAATTGAATTTCCCAGTTCTATATTTCATATGCATATATATGTTGTAAATGTAGATAGAAGAGAATTGTATATAAATATATATGAACATTTCTTTGATGTATTGTAAGATAATATGACATAAAACTACTACCTGAAAGACAGTAAGTATTTCCCTTTTACAATGGCCTTTTTTGGTGAAATAAAATAGACTGCGATGTATTGAATCTTCCCAGCAGTGTTCAGTGGGGGTCTCCCAGTACAGTGTGAGGTCTTGACACATTCATCATGGTTAGAAAGTTTTATAGGAAGTACCACCATTGGTTTTTGTTTTTTGTTTTTTTTTTTTCCTGAGAAAAAGGAAGGAGTAAAGAAGGAGCTTGCTTTGCTGGAATAATTGAAAAGAGAAGAGCAGAGAGAAGTGCTGGTCCATTGATTGTGCAGTTCTGAACATTTTATGGTAGCTTACATGCAGCAAGGTTTATTTTCACCTCTTGTTAAAAAGCAACAAAATTGTTTACAAATATCTATACAGAGGATAGTTAAATTTACAAAATAATAGTTGGAAAGCTGATTAGTTGTTTAGGTTTGAAAGTGCCAGAAAACTTTTACTCAGCATTATCATGAATTCCATATATGAGAAAAATATTTGGAGATATATCTAGGGAAAATCCTAAAGAAAATACCTATTATTTCTCCTTACTATATAAGTGCACTTTTAAAACTAGAGGCTGAGCTTGCCACAAATCTTCTCTGAAGGATTAGGAGGATGAGAAAATTAAAAAAATTATTTAATAGCAAACATCTGAAAAATCTAAAGTTCTAAATTAACATTGGAACAGTTTGGCTCGGAGCACTGTTCGTTTATTTCTGCTGGATTTCTGTGATAAAGTGTTATCAAACTTGGCTAATATTAACTATTGCCATGCTACAACTAAGAACTTTCCCCTCCAATGTTCTTGCCCCATGTATTTTTTAAAATATATTGATTTGGTTTGTTTTGTGAAGTTTTATAGGTTGACTGCCCTTTTTTTTTTTGAGGGATTTGTTTGTTTGTTTTGGGTTTTTTCTGTTTGGTTTGATTTTTGGTTGTGTTTTGGTTTTGTTGTCTGTTGTTTTTTTTTCAGAGAGAATAGCAGTTTTACTCACCTGTTTTAAGCTGCAGCTTTTTGATGCTATAGAAGCTCCAGAAAACTAGATACAGAGAATTTTAATGGAGGTGAACTAATGGGTAGAATGAGGTATATAGCTATGTCCTTTATTTGTATGGCTCCCATTTCATTAAGTAATTGCCACACATATGTTTTGTGGCATATGTCCATGATTATGCATACCATCACAGTCAAGTGAAGTAAAATGAAGCACAACAAACTTAAATTTCTTCCTTAAACTCTTTTTAGTTCTGTCACTGTGTTACTGTCCCAACGTCGGGGGTGTCTTTCACTCTTGTTTTTCATCATGATAGTTCTATTTTTTAATGTTTACTAAAATCAGTGTGCAGATTACTTTTCCTTGGAACTCAAAGAACCATAGAATGGTTTGGGGTCTAAAGGGATCTTGAAAGATCTGCCATGACAGGAATATCTGTCACTAGATCAGGTTGCTCACAGTCCCATCCAACATGACTTTGAAATCTTCCAGTAATGGGGCATCCACAATTTCTCTGGGAAATCTGTTTCAGTTTCTCACTACCCTTATATCAAAGAGTTTCTACCTCATATATGTGCAATCTAAATCTGCTTTCTTTCAGTTTATGGAGCCCAGGACACAACTGGCTTTCTGGGCTTTGAGCACACACTGCTGACTCATGTTTAATTTTTCATCCACCAGTACCCCCAAGTTCTTCTCCACAGGTCTGTTCTCAATCTGTCCAACTCCTAGTCTGTATTGATACTGCTGAACTCTCCAACCTAGGTGTTGGACCTTGCACTTAGCCTTGTTGAATTTCATGAGGTTCACATGGCCCTCACCTTTCAAGCCTGTCAAGGTCCCTTTGGAGGACATCCCTTCCCTCTAGCGAATCAGATGCACTACTCAGCTTGTTGTGATCTGTGGGCGTACTCAATCCCACTGTCTCAATGATGCAGATACTAAATAATGTTAGTCCCAATGTAGACCCTGGAGGGACACCATTCATTTCTGGTTTCCACTTGAACATTTCAGCCATTGACTGAAACTCTTTGCATGTGACAATCCAGACAGTTCCTTATCGATCTGATAGTCCATCATCAAATCAATCTATCTGCAATTTAACAGCAAGAATATTATGCAGGACCACATCAAAGGCCTTGTCCACTGACGCAATCACTCCATCATAGAAGACCCCTGGATTAGTCAGGCAAAATGGTGAAGCTATGTTGTCCATCTCTAATGACACTCCCTGTCTCCCATATGTTTTGATATATCTTCTAGGAAGATCTGTTCCATGATCTTACCAGGTACACAGGTGAGGCTAACTCACCTCTGTGAATTTTACATTTAAAGCCTTTTTGTCACATTCTTTTCCTCAACAGTCACTCTGTTCTGCTGTCCCTGTACCTCATTCTCTCTTGCTTTTAATATCTTTTAGGGCTTGCACCATACTTAGATTTTAAAGTCTTCTAGGAAGGGAGCACGTATATAGTATGACACTTTTTCACAGAACTGTATCATTAACAAGTATCAGTTCTGAGTAAATTATCTCATTCCAATTTAACTGATCATTGTGACATAACACAATTTTATTTAAATTTAAATCATATTTACTCATATATTTTTAGAAAGGTGAAGAGTCAAAACTGTTTACACTATTGGATTCTTGTAGATAAGCTTTGGTGTTTCTTTTGTGTCATGTTTCGACAGTGCAATCATCCATTAATCTAGTGGTGATATAAGATTAGTAGGAATTCATTTTCTAATTTAGAAAGATGATGATTGCTTAAATTTTTCCTATGTTTGCATCAACATGTTTGTTCTACTTTTCTGAAGACTTGTTGTGCATGTCTCTGTATGTTTGCTTCATCTTTACATTTAAAGGTGTACTAACAGGTTTTTGTCTAACTGGAATTCCAGACATTTTTTAGGTACTAAATTCCTCAAATAAAATCAATATTGAACCCCTCGGCCCATTATGTGAACGAAAAATACTTCATAGTTAAAGATCAATGTGTAGTAAACTGAAACGTAGAGATGATAAAAGGATTTATTCTATTTATTGTTTTTCTTATCCCCAATATTTGGTTAGAGTCATGAGTACAATTGTAAAATAGTAAATGTTGGCCCAAACATAATCTATTAATGTAAACGACAGACGAGCTAAGGCTTTTAAAGCAGAAAGTTTTCTTTGAATTGTAGAGCAGGCAGTATCAAAATTTATCTTCTAAAAATGAAGCAAAGAAATCTCATTTAGCTATATACTTTGAAAGAAATAGAATGTAGAAATCCTGTCTGAAAACATTATCGGTTCAAATAGTGTGTCACAGTTTGTCGTTCTTCCAAATTGTATGTATTGAGCAAATCCGTTTTCACTTACTTGCACCAAAACAAAAAAGGGAAAAACTGATTACATGATCCATACTCATGTCTAATAAAATTGCAATATGCACTTTTTGACAGGCTTATATTTAATGCATACTGATGGGAAATTCTAGTTCTCTGTTCTCAGCAGGAAAAGTAGGGTTTTAAGAAAACCTTTTTATTTTGTGACTGTCACACAACATAACAATTATAAATGAAATGGAGGTGACAAGAATGAAAAACCAGCTTGCTGATTTTTATGAAGTGTTTGTATTTCCAGAAAGGCACTCATTGCAGTTATTTGATTTGAAAAATTAATCCTTATAATTCCTTTTGAGTTCCTTAAGTACTGTTCACTCTTTTCCAGGATGAGTTTTACAGAACAAAGCCTAACAGATTTCTACAGCAGATTAGTTTACACATGAAGCTCAATTCCACTGAGAATGATTCTGTAATGACCCCTTTATATTTCCATTGGGCTGTGTGAATGCTTTAATATGTAGAGAACAGAGTTAAATAAATCTATTGTCTCAGCTAACACGTTTATGCAAACCTTCTGAAATATTTAATTATATCTTCTTCTTTTTCTCCACAATTAAGAAACCAGATATCAAGGCCGTCATGTGTTTATTATAGCCTATCCATTAGACTAAATAAATTCACTTATAATTAGGGTTTTTTCTCTTTCTCCTTTGTTTTGCAGAGCAAGAAGAATGTGTTAACTGCACAGATGAATGCAGAGTGCTTGGTCATTCTGACAGGTGTTGGATGCCACAATTTCCTGCAGCCAGTCAGGCTGAGAATGCAGATTATCGCACAAATCTCTTTGTACCCACAGTTGAAGCTAATGTTGAGACTGAGACATACGAAACTGTGAATCCCACTGGGAAAAAGACTTTTTGTACATTTGGGAAAGACAAGAGAGAGCACACTATTCTCATTGCCAATGTTAAACCTTACTTAAAAGCCAAACGTGCCCTGAGTCCTCTGCTTCAGGAGGTTCCCTCAGCATCGAGCAGCCCAACCAAGACATGCATTGAGCCTTGCACCTCAACAAAAGGACCACTGGATGGTTGTGAAGTGAAATCAGGAGCCTTGGCTGAACCCAGCAGCCAGTACTTGTCAACTGACAGTCAGTATCTATCGCCCAGTAAACAGTCAAAAGACACTTCCTTCATTGCATCAGATCAGATGGCTAGGGCCTTTGCAGATGTACATTCCCGAGTGAGCCGAGACTCGAGTGAGATGGACTCTGTTCTGGAGCAGTTAGACCGTTCAGCCCGGGATCTAGGCAGGGAGTCGGTGGATGCCGAGGAAGTTGTGAGAGAAATAGACAAGCTCTTGCAGGACTGTCGGGGAAATGACCCTGTGGCCATCAGAAAGTGAGGGGGAAAATGGACAGGCTGACAGTTTGGTTCTTCTTCTGCTGATTAAAAGTAAATAAATAAATAAATCCCCTGCTTGTAACAGAATTAACAGGAATGAAGGAAGACCAATGCTGCTTTAAGGTTTTGAGTGAACATCTGAAGTGCCCACAAGTATGTTCTTTTCACTGCTCTTTCTTTTTGACAGATAACACTGGTTTCATTTTGACCAAACTTTCATTAGGACAGAGTCAAGTACACCAAGAATAAAATGAAAGAAGGAAAGACAGTGCCATTTTGACAATCTGATAGGAAGGTGTGAGAAAGATGGAGTGGAAATATGTGTGATACTTTAAGACTGTCCTCAAATAGCTGATGCTGACTTTACTGTTTACGTATAAACCCCAAGAAAAAAAGGGTTGAATAATGCTGATCTGTGGTGGATTTCCAGCAGTCACCACAGGCTTCTATTGAAAGTCCTATAAAGAGTTATTGTAGTAGTCCAAGTGACATCAAACATTAACATTCATTTGTGGTAAATATTTATGTACAAAGTTATCTGCCACAAATATGGGAAAGAAAAAAAAGAACAATAAAACAGAAAGAACCATTCCAGAACATTATTCAAGGAAACATATCCTAATCATTAATGAAACACTTCATATCATATTAAGGTTAAGTGTAAAATGATATAGTCCATCTTGTCCTGCACACACATAAGCTAACTCACTTGATAAAAAAGAAAAAAAATTAATATCTATTTAGCTTTTTAGTGTCCAACAAAGCTATAAATAGTTAGTGATAAGTTTAAAAAAAAAAGGAAGTAAAATAAAGTTTGAAAAAAAATAGAGTTACCTTAAGGGTAATACAGAAAAGAAATTAACATTATTAACACTTTTTTATTCATTTGTGGACACTAAAATAGCTCAGGAGGGTGAAAATGTCTTAGACATCCACAAAAATCACATGGTCATTTAAATGTGCAAATGTAAGAAAATTCAGTGTGTTTACATCAAATGACATATTTTTATTGATTTATTGCAGATTCAGTGCATATGAGCCAAATTGTTGAGTGTATAAGAGCTATATTGTGTATTTTATTAAATTAATATATAGTTGTGTTGCAAAAATATTTGGGCTTATATTGTAAATGGCAAGTGTTGCCTCGGTAGCTGTCGAACTCTATGAGTTTTGTTTTTTCCTGCTTCCTTTTCCCCATGGAATATGGGAAGCAGCGCCTCAGAGCAAAGTCTCTTGTTTAATGTATGGTCTACGAAGTACTGCAGTACATAATCTGTTCAAAATGTGTTTGAGTGAGCTGATGGAGCTAACTGAACAGCCTACAAATACATCCATCAGTCATGGTTATGTGCAAGTCCTTGTAGAAGCTTCTATTGCAAACCCATGTGTAATAACAAAAGTTACACTCGAGCCAACAGCTGGAACCTCCTTGGTTTTTTTTTTTTTTTCAAACACATGCAGCCAGCCTGTTTAATGTAGGATATTTGATTGACTTCCTCAGAGATGACACCATTTCCAAAGCTTTGGTATAAAATTCATAGAACTGAAAAACGTTTCAGTACCAATATGGCATAAGGAGAATTTCATCTGATTCTTCAGAATATGCAATTGCTTACTGCAGTTCTAGATAAACACTTGTTATTTTGGGGGGTGGTTTTAGTTTGATTTTCACTTGAATAGTATTTTCAGATAACTTGGTATATAGTTTCTACTTTTTATTATTTTTTTTCTAAGAGTGTTTTTATTGCATTTGAAAAACTCAAAATTACTTTCAGGTATAACTTAAAAAACAACACACATTCAAAATGAACTTGTACAGAACAAGAACAAGCAGAAGAATAAAATTACTAGCTCAGGATATATACTTCAGATAGTCTGTTGAAAATATCACTATGGCACATTGTTAAAAAGTTAGGTATTGGGTTTATTAAATTTAATCTGTACTATAAAAAACACTTATAAAACAGATTGTCACTCTAAAATACCATAAGCCATAGTCTGTATCCGTTCAAGAAAGAAAGTTGACCCAACAGCCTATTTTGGTTTTGGGATTGCATTTAAATGGTGATTCTTAGCTAGTTAGTCCTACAATGAATTGTCTTTGGGAGACAACCGTTCTAGTTTGCTTTTAGCTCCTCCTATTAAAAAAATCCATTATTACATGTAAGAAAAGGATCTTGTACATGTCTTATCAAGCTACTCTCCATGTTTTGGACAATTTATGTATCTAAAATGTGGTGTTGTCTGTGTTATATAATTTTATTTTTTTGGCCAGGAGATCTGAGATTGGTTTTGCTTGATAGCTTGATAGCTTGAAATTCCATTGTGGAGAGGATTTCTTATTGTTTGATTGATCTTTTATACGTATTTTCGTGGTGCCCATCACTTCAGTGTCTGTGCACCAAATCTTTAGCTCTGCCGGTGAGATCCATTATTCAGCAAAATCTAAGCCAACATGTAAATGCAGTCAAGTGATGGAGATTTGTGTATTTTATAAATGATTTTAACACTGAATAACCAATTGTACAATTCATGTATGTTTCTGAAGACATAAAACCACAACATTCTGAGAAAGGGCTGTGCCAATGTAAGAGGAATTTACCTTAAGGCTCTCTGTCACTAGTGATTTACTAGCTTTAGCTGTTTAACACATTATCTGTATTTAGTAGTGATTATTTATTTACCAGTCTGAGGTAATTCAGAATTCATGACTCACAGCTTTATAGAAGAGTTTAGGAAACCTTGCTTTTATTTAATTTGGCTTATGACTGCCTTGTGTTGTAGAACTCTGGCATACTGCTTCCAGTAAGGATATCCCAGGTTAAAAACTCTATTTCACAATTTAGAATGGATGTATAATGAACCAATAAACCAGTAAAGCTTATACAATGTGAGTTTTGCTGGTTCAGTCAAAATTAACATGATTGTGTGTGAAGGACATACTGCACACAAAAGAATTTAAAAGTGTTTTTTCTCCATGGTATCTTTAGTATCACCATTGGAGAAAGAGGCAGCAATGAAAGATAAAATTTTGGAGTTATTTCACTCATTTCTTACATATATGCTTTATAAGATTAGGAGAAAATATCCGCCACATCATTATAAAGAGAATGTTGGAGTTAAGGGAGGCAAGTTAAGCAACTAATAAATTTGTACTGTACACTGTGAATAACAAATAAGGCATTCTATATCTTTTTCTAATTAACAAAAGCCAGAAACTGGGAGTTCCTTATACAATTGGCCAATCAAATCAGAACTCAAAATCAGACCTTTTTTTCCTTTTTTTTTTTTTTTAATTGGCATATTTATCAGGAGATTCTCCTGAACTATGATTTGCCACTTAAGAATAGACATTTCCCAGTCCAAGTTACCCTAGAAGTCAAACGTTGCTCATAGTGGAGCAAGATGCATCATTCAAACAAGTTTTCATGCTGCTTGCTGTCAAATGAAAGGGCAATTGCTGAGGTCAAGTAGGAGTCTGAAGCCTAGCATAACATGCACATGCTCATTATTGTTTAATTACTTTCTTTTCACATCAGGTAGTGATTACTATTGCATTAATTTAAATGGGAGTTTTGGCTATCAAGATTTGTTGATTTGAAGTGTAATTGAATGAAATCCGATTAAGGTTTTGACTTCTCTGGCCCAATTGTGATACAGGTTGGCATTCTCATTTATCAGCCCCTGTCTCCCCATATGGCTCAAAGTTGCACCAATGACTGGTGAATGACACAAAAACCCCCAAACAAAAGCAGCATACATTGTATGGATTTTCTCAACCGCTATTGTTTAATGGCTGTGTTTAATGTGACCTATCTGGAAAATGAGGACTACGAATAAAAAGCAATTACTAATAGTGGTGTTGCCTGCTTTTACATTCATTAACACAGAAGAAATGTGTTAAACACTGCATACCACAGGGAGCCTGATGGTAATTACTTTGGAAAAGCAACTTGTGGCGATGCGGCTGTTACAGCTAGTTATCAGTTTGCCAAAAAAATGACAGTTCCTGCTTCATTTATTAGAAATGTGTAACTGTTTTCTCTCAACAGGAAAGTGGTGAAGAGTTTTCATCAAGCTGGGTAGGTTTATCTTTTAAGCAGCTGATGCACTGAATCCCTACAGGCTGTTGTTTGCTCATAGAAACATGGAGCTGAATAAAGGAAATTTTGTTTTAGTACACGGGTGTGAGTTCACCAAGAACATTATAAATCAAGGTATAAGTTCTCAAAGACTGTCAGACCAGTAGAGGAGATCAAAACACCTCTTAAGTATACAAATGGAGAAAAAAACCCTGAAGAATGCAAAGGGTTGGAGTTTGTGGGGTTTTTTTCAAATGTCTTTTTTAAGACTCTGAGCAATTTTATTCATGTTGCTGTAAATAACATGACAAATTGCTGGGAAAAATATTCCTAAGTCCTATTTTTTTCCCAGTTTTTTTGTTATAATTTAACACTTTCATTAACCTCTTTTGTTTGATTGTTTTTTGTTATGTTTGAACATTATGATTAATCCTTAGAGTGTATGGCCTTCTCTGTCTCTGTTCCTATGTGATTATAGCAATGACATACCAAATTGTGTAAAACCTGTACACCAGATTTTTTAGGGGTTTTTTTAGGAAGAGTTGGTTTGTCTTTTGTTGGTTTATTTTTGTTTCATTTTTTTTGTTGTTTTTGGTTTTTGGTTTTACATTTTGGTTGGTTTGTTTGTTTGTTTGTTATCAATAATTAAGTATACAGGCATTACTTTTGACAGCTAAATAGAATTTTAGCTTGTTCAGAATACTACAGATATTATAAAGATATGTTCTTGTCCTGTGGACAGAATTACCTTTTTTCTACATTGCATTTTTTCTACAAGTAAAACAAAACCAGCCTGCATCTCGTTAGCTGGCCATCCTAAGGCACAGAAACCCACCATGGTTTTCTTCCCTTTTTCTTGTTTCATATATTTATCTTTCTACAGACTGCATTCCAAAATCTAGGAAGCCACTCTCTGTGCGGACTCCTGACAGAAGGTACCTTATGCTGCTGATGGGCTCACTAGACATGGGATGTTACTCTTTATGTCTTCAACTTTGTGTAATTCAAAGCTTGGCTGGACCTACAGTATATGTAGAACAAGTCATAAACCATCCTGGCTTTTCTTTACCCAGAATACAGTGTCATTGATTTCCCATTTGGAAAGTAGCCAGTCTGTCAAACAGAGATTCTTAGATCTCCTTTAAGCCAACCACGTATAACTGCTTCAGGGTGTTCACTCATGGGATAAATACCCTATCTTTATCCTTTATTGAGTCTAAGACATGAAAGCAGCTGAAAGCTTATTTCTTCAGTTAGTAATGTTTCCCTAAAAATGAAATTTCTCCAGTAGAAAGGACAACTGTCTGCTGTATGCATAGCTTGATTTGTGAAAGGTCACCTTAGTTTCAGTAGTGCATGAAGAAATGGATCAAGGAATTAATGAGTCATCTAAGAATTTTCTGAGATGTATATTCAATAACGGATATGTAATGATTCAGGGAAAATAGTACAGTATCTTGATTTATTTATTGTCAATGGTTCCTGGTAATGCCGGGAACTAAAAACATTTAGTTCGAATTTTGGGGAAACATTTTTCTCTCTTTTTTTAAAGATTTTGGTTGGTTGGTTGGTTGGTTTCCTAAATATATACTATTTGGGGCCCTTTGTTATTTTTAAAATAAAAATATTGTTCTGGTATGGTTGCCCCCTTTAGGTTCTTTAGGCTGGAGATAATACCTTTTACTTGGACAAGACTCCAAAATGTCTGTAAACATTATGACATTTATCTTGGTGAGAGTTAATGGTGTAGGCGCAGCTTGAAACATATATTACTGGACAACAGATTCAGATTTTTACCTACTGAGGAATGGAATAATTAAAATTCCATTTCTCAAAATATATTTTATTTAATACTTTGAAAACCAACTCTATGGAAATTTTATTTTAGTGCACCTACTGAACTGCTGCCAGAGAACTAGGGGAACAGTCAGCCAGTAATCCTCAAATTTTCCAAGTTAAAAGCAACCTTGAAGTTGCCTCTGGAAATCAATTGATTGCTAGTGTAGTATAGAAAACATATTTTCATTATGTTTGAAGAAGAAATACTCCTTAGCAAATTTGAAATTACATTTTGTAATAACTGCACATTTTCCATCTTTTTAACTGCAATCACATATAGAACACTTTTGAGTGGTTTGATTTAAGAGTGATAAAAAATAGATCACTAGGCTGGCATCAACATTGAAATGGGAACACCATATCTGTCTGACCATCAGAAAATGACATTTATCTATTTCTGTTATTACTTTCTATAGGAAAACGTTCCATGCATATATTTTTTAAGCCTTTTACATCAGGCATCGATTATTATGATGGATGCTATCATGATTTCTGCAAGTGTCCCTTTTATTAGTCATCACTACTTCCTTTCCATATGTCCATTTAAAATTGTTTACATTGAAAATTTTTCTCATTAAATTTAGACCAGATTACCTCTCTCTTCAAAGATATTTCACACTTCATACCATATAATAAAAAATATTAATCATAATATTTGTAGGTGAGACCTCCATTTATTTCTTACAACTCTTTGGTTTAAAATTTGATTAGTGCTGCTAAAATAATATTTTATTTTAGCAATATTTTTATTTTCCAATTAAAATCTTTATCTTTTTACGAACAAATTTTTCATTCGCTATTGTGAGTTCAGTGGAAGATCCTGTTAAGAGGAGTGCCATACTTAATAAGCTGGACAGTTCTAAATAAGAATGTTTTCTTGGTAACTAAACATACAGCTATTTTGTCTTTAGTGAATATTATTTCTTTTTGGATTTTTTGTACTGAAATTATGAGAAAAAATAATCTGATATGTGTATTCTGGATAACTAATACATTTAATATCCTCTAACTATAATATGGTTCATACTAATGATATTTCATTATGAGTATATGTTTAGGGACTGTCTTAGACCAGATGAGAAATTGTACTTACTCTGAATACCCTTTGAGTTTCCATGCTTCAAGCCATATTGCCTATGGGAATGATTTTCTATTCCCTTGTGCTTCATTCTAAATTGAGAACAAAATTAATATAAGCACTGCTATATCATTTAATAAGGAATTGTATAACACCAAGTGAATATAGTAAATACAGCAGAAAAGAATACATGTGAAACTATTTTAACATTACAGTATCATTGTATTTTAAGAGATTTAGAACAGAGATTAGCAACTGTTAATAAACCTTTATCTTTTACCACAAGATAAACGTCTTAAAAGCATTAGAGGTTTGCCTCAGTTTAAAGTCTGTAGTAGTAGTGGAAAGCTGCAGAATAAGGCTACTGTTCAGACTCTGTGTTTCTTTCATGGTATTTTCTAGAAGAGACTCCAGAGGTTGGTAATTATGTGTCCATAGTAACTTATGCACTTCCATGAGCCAGTCTAAGTAAGTGAACCAAACTCCCTGGTATGTACCAGCTCACTGCCACTCTGCTCCAAGACTACCTTAGCAGAGTCTGTTTAGGTGAATTTTATGGATCCAGTATGGATAGCAAGTGGATTTTTTTAGTACATCTTTTTATACGTGTCAAAGTAAGAACACCTTTCAAAGGAAAAGAACATCTACCTTTTGAAAAAGCAACAGTTTTTGAAAAGAGGTCTACAGAATCCGCCCTGAAAAAAAGAAAAAAAAACCAGGAAAAATAGCAAATATAGTCTTGCTTGTGGATATTTTTCCCTCCAAAACTCAGTTGAGCAACACTGTTGATGACTATAAATCCACCACTATACTTTTCTAAATACACCTTTTCCAGTGGACTAAAATAGGAGAGAGGAATGGAAGTTTAGAACCCAGGTAAAGCCTGTATACTGATAGCAAGCACATTCAGTCCTTTAATTCCAAATTAATCACCTTTTTTAAAAGATTCATACTTCTGCTCTTATTAATAACCTTATATGGACTGCTAAATCATAAAACCACTGCAATTGCAAAAGTTAATGTGGTGGAGGTAGATATCAAGATAGAGAAGGAAAAGGAAAACTATGCTTCAGGCAGACTTCCAGTTCCTATTAATTCTTATCCCTTTATCTGAGGTGAAATGTCAGGGACCCATCATATTACTACAACAGTAGAAGTAGAAACAATTGAAGGACGTCTGAATCAAGCACTCTTGTTCAAAAAGCTTTCATGGAGATTTGCCAAGCTTATTCTGGGATCAAGCCTGTAAACCTGAGACAGCTCTGCCGATAACTAGTAATTCCTGTAGTCTAAGGTGATGTTCACATCACCTACTGCCTGGAACAATTTCAAGCTTCTATGGGCAATGACAACATCAACTGCAAGGAGCCACCAGGTGCAGCTGCCAAATCTTGAATTCCGCAGCTTCTTGTAAGTGGATGCCAACTCTCCTCATTCACTTTATTTCCTTCATCCTGAGTGTTTATAAGGCATACTACTAAATGTTAGTTGACATTTCCAAGCCTTGAAGGGTGGTCTGGAGGAAGACCAATCCTTGTTCAATGCATGAGTTTGTTAGCATAGAATGCTTTTTTGATGCCAGATAAAAATCAGAACTGTATTTGAAGAACCACCTGTTTACTCAGTTTGGGAATTTCTTTAATTATCATTTTGTTTCATTGTATAAATAATCCAGAAAATCTTCAGCATCAGTGAAGCTAAACGCATGCTCATTTTTAACAGCAGCATAAATATTAATCACAATCACCAGTCCAGACTGAGGAATTTATTTGGCATAACATGTACAACTATGCAAAAATTATGTAAAAATGGAAGTTATTATGAGCTGTAATTAATATACTGTGCTACCAGCTGACT